TATATATATATTGGAAATGAATTTTAAATATTTATTTCTTGGTATTTTTGTTTGTCTTTGAATGAACAGCTTACAAGACGGTGTCTGGTGTGAATGGTCCCTTGGTCATTCTCGATGAGGTGAAATTCCCTAAATTCGCTGAGATTGTGCAGTTGCGCTTGGCAGATGGTACTGTACGTTCTGGCCAGGTGCTGGAGGTGAGCGGCTCCAAGGCCGTTGTCCAGGTCTTCGAGGGCACCTCTGGTATTGATGCGAAAAACACGCTTTGCGAGTTCACCGGTGATATTCTGCGAACGCCCGTTTCTGAGGATATGTTGGGTCGTGTGTTTAACGGCTCTGGCAAGCCCATCGACAAGGGTCCCCCAATTTTGGCCGAAGACTTTTTGGATATTCAAGGTCAGCCTATCAATCCCTGGTCGCGTATCTATCCCGAAGAAATGATCCAGACTGGTATCTCTGCTATTGATGTGATGAACTCGATTGCTCGTGGTCAGAAGATTCCCATCTTCTCTGCTGCTGGTCTGCCGCACAATGAAATCGCTGCGCAGATCTGTCGTCAGGCCGGTTTGGTCAAGTTGCCTGGCAAGTCGGTACTTGATGACCACACCGATAACTTTGCCATTGTGTTCGCCGCTATGGGTGTGAACATGGAAACTGCCCGTTTCTTCAAGCAAGATTTCGAGGAGAACGGTTCCATGGAGAACGTGTGCTTGTTCTTGAACTTGGCTAACGATCCAACCATTGAGCGTATTATTACACCCCGTCTGGCTCTGACCGCCGCTGAGTTTTTGGCCTACCAGTGCGAGAAGCACGTGCTGGTTATCTTGACGGATATGTCTTCGTATGCTGAGGCTTTGCGTGAGGTGTCTGCTGCCCGTGAGGAGGTGCCCGGCCGTCGTGGTTTCCCTGGATACATGTACACGGATTTGGCCACCATCTATGAGCGCGCTGGTCGTGTTGAAGGTCGCAACGGCTCAATTACACAGATTCCTATTTTGACTATGCCTAACGATGATATTACCCATCCAATTCCCGATTTAACTGGTTACATTACCGAGGGTCAGATCTACGTTGACCGCCAGCTCCATAACAGACAGATCTATCCTCCAGTGAATGTGCTGCCATCTTTGTCACGTTTGATGAAGTCTGCCATTGGTGAGGGCATGACCCGCAAAGATCACTCCGATGTTTCCAATCAGTTGTATGCTTGTTATGCCATCGGCAAGGATGTGCAGGCCATGAAGGCTGTGGTCGGTGAAGAGGCTCTGACGCCCGATGATTTACTGTATTTGGAGTTCTTGACTAAGTTTGAGAAGAACTTCATTTCGCAGGTGAGTAATCAGTGATTGATATCATGAAATAACAAATATGCTGACTTGCTTCTTTAATTCGCCCCAGGGTAACTACGAGAACCGCACTGTCTTCGAATCCTTGGATATTGGCTGGCAGCTGTTGCGTATCTTCCCCAAGGAGATGCTTAAACGTATTCCGGCCTCTATTTTGGCTGAATTCTATCCTAGGGATTCGCGCCATTAGATTTTGTTTAAAATTGTTTTGTTTTTGATTTATGTCCAAAATTTTGTTTCATTCATAATTTAAGCTGGTGGCGCAACGTGCGGCGTGCCTCCTGCAATAATCCGCTGTGTATACGTCTATACATATACGATATACACACATATATACACATTAACTACAATATAACCCACGAAAAGGATATTAATATGATAATATCTACGTATAAATTTTGATTTGTGTATACATAGAGAGCCGAAGCGCAGTCTAAACAATAACTAGTTAAATATTTTCTAATCACTATATAAGCGGAAACTATTTTAAATGTGTGTTTTAGTAATCAAAATTTGTCAAAATATTATTACGTGTACATAAACTCAAATGAATTAACCCCAATCCACACCTCAAATGAAGAAGAAAGAAAAACAAAACAATGAACATTCTCCTTAAAACTTTGTTGCCGACCCGTCGATAATTTGTTAAAGTTTACCCATTTTTGTTAGGTTTTAAGTGTGTGTGCTCTGTAAATGTTTATTATTTCTCGATCATTGAATTGTTCAATTAATTTCGTTTCACATACAGAATCGTAGCATTCCAAACCCAAATTAAATAACGCATATTTGTGTTTCTTTCGCTTGCGTCGCTTTCGGTCTTCTGTTTATTTTGTATTCGATCAACTTTAAGATGTTACAACACTTCGCACAAGTATTAAAAAAAAATTCTCTTCAGCACTCCCCGTCCCCGTGCCCTCACTGTTCCCTGCACCGAAACAATGTGAACAATTTGTACAGCAACTAAACTCAACAAACTAAACAATGAAATATGAAAAGTGCAAAAAGAAAACTGCTGCTTTACATGCAACAAAATGTTTTTAAACAAAAATCTAAGAAAACAAATTACATATTAAAATTATATTGATTATTTGTTCGTTTATTGTCCTAAAGTAAATAGAATGTTATTTAAAGTTGAAACTATGCATTGCAATGTTGTTTGTTGTCTGGGAATAGGGAGAAGATCCGCAACTTTCAAATAAATATTAGAAGAATGCAAATCCAATAAATGTTCAACGCATACATATATATTTAAATAATATTAGAACATTTAACTATGTATGTATACATTATACGAATGATAAATTAATAAATTACGCCGCAAGTCATGTTAAATATTCATTCAAATGGACAAAAATATATTAATATACATATATTACAAGTATATGCTAGAAATTTCAGATCATTTTTAAAAGCCAATATACTCTTCCTTTCGTGAGCGTGTATTTAAATCAACTCTCAATTTAAATATCCAGTGGCAACCCTAAACTTCTCTTTACGAACCGAATGATATGCGAAATCGGCGATTACCGTTGTAATGCTGCTCGTTGCCTTTTAGTTCGTTTTTGAGACTGATCAGTTCAAGTTGAGACGTGCCTCGTGTCGGACTATGTTTTTGTGGTAGAACTTCAAATTGACTCGATCCAAAATGGCGGAGCCAGAGGAAGTCAAGTCTACACCCGAGGTGAAAGTGGCCAACAAAGGGAGTGTTCTCTCGCATTGCTTGAAAGCCATTAAGGCTTTGAACAGTCGCACTGGGTCGTCAGTGCCTGCGATTGTAAACTTCATGAAGTCCTCCGGCTACGAGGTGACCGATATGGCCCGCATGAAAAAGCTTGTGGCACGGGCACTCAAAGTGGCGATGGGCACGGGTGACGTTGTGCAAGTGAAGCGCTCCTTTAAAATGTCAGCGACGGCAAAGGCAGAATCCAAAGCCATGGAAAAGATGAAAGCCAATCAGCAGAAGAAGTTGGACAAAGCAAAGGCTAAGGAGCAAAAAGCTAAGAACAGAACAAAGCCAGCGACTAAGAAGGACAGCGAAAAGACGCCAGATTCGGCAGGTGCAGAGACGGCAAAGCCAAAGCAGCGTAGAAAGAAGCCATCGGAGCGCCACACAAATGAGGTTTACTCTAATATCTCACGCCAATGTATATCCCCATCTTACTAATCGCATCGTATCATTAACCCTTGCAGCCCGCAAAGAAAAAGTCGACCGCAAAGATAGCTGCAGTTGGTGGGAAGATAAAGCCTGAATTGGCTGCGGGTGAATCAGACCAGACCACTCCTAAGAAGCCAAAAAAAGCCCAGCCAAAAGCTAAGCCTGCAAGTGCCAAAACAAAGGCTATGGACAACGAAGTCAGTGCAGCATCCAAATTGAAGACGCCACGAAAGTCAATTGGAAGCCTGACAAAGAAGGTGAACAGGCCAAAGATACAGAACAAGTCCATTAAAAAGTTGGTGGCCGGCAGAAAAAGCTTTGACGATCCGGAATCTGATCTGACAGATTCAGGACCAGCTGAGGCCTCAACCCCATTAAGCCCAACTAAGCAGAAGCGTATGGCCAAACAGATTAAGTAACAAATTCCATATGAATTGTGAAGTTTAAAGGTAAATTTTGTTTTGTATTTTGGGTTAAATAATATGCAAAATACTGTCTTGTTTTTAATGTTAATTAATTAATGTCAAATTTATTTAAATTATGCTCGTCCTCACGTAGCTCCACATTTATATTCTAATTTATCAATGTCAATAAAATTTATTATAACAGTTTTTTATACCTCTAAATTAGTTAAAATAAATCTTGTCTTTATATATTATTAAACTTATAAATGGATACTTAAAATGACAAATAGTTAACAAATTGCCGCTTCTGCAATGAGTTGAACATTACAATTTTTGGCGCAAAGAAGCCACCAAAACCTTGGATCCCTTGTGGTGAATTCCGACGCCAGTGTGTGGTTTCTTCGCACAGTTATGTAACCAGCCAAAAGCTGTTCACTCCGGTTGCAGGACGTACTTGAACTTGAAAGCAGTAGTCACAGCTCCAGAAGATGTGGTATTACGAGGACTTTGCGTTAGTCAATGCAGCGAAAGCTGTGCTTTCGCCCCGCGCAAAAATTCTGATTTTTACAGATCGTATCATCATGGCAGCTCTTGATGCTCGCATATTCACAGCTTCGGTAGCAATAGGACTCAGTCTTCCGATTCCTCTCATTCACCACGTAGCCTTGCTTGACGATTGTTCTTTCTGATTGTCTTACGTTGAAACTATGGCAAATGGTTTATGCGTTGTCAGTGTATGTATGAAAATATGCCATTTACAAAAAATTGTATAAGTGCGTATGTATATTAGCTGTAAGCATTAAACGATAGGCGAGCACAGCCGGTCTTCAGTTATAATATGTCTTTTTATAAACCCAAGCAATTGCGTGTGAAGTAAATATATATTTCTATTAAATAATATTTTACATAAAAATTCACAGTCCTTAATACTTTCCATTTGAATTCTCAAGTTCCCGCCAAAGTTTTTAAACATTTTTGAGCACTGAATACTAAGAGTGGCGCAGTTCGCGTGGGAACTAGCTCTTTAATAGATCAATTAAATAAAGTTAAAGAAATTCCATTATTCTACGAAGTAATTTTGAAAAAAGAGTTCAGAGGTTTAAAATTTTTTTAATATCATAAAAGCTATACAACACAAATTAAAGATACAATTTTTGTATGATTTAGATTTTTACGTGCGTAACCAGGTACTGAATAACTGATGCGGATTGATCTAACTGATAACACGTGTAACCTCGAACTATAATTTTATAATAACCATGCGATATTATTATTGCCCGCAGGTTTAGAAAATTGTTTTACCGGCAATAAAGTTATTGATTAGATCGTAATATGGGAAAGGCATCAAAGGACAGACGTGATATATTTTACCGTTTAGCCAAGGAACAGGGATGGCGAGCCAGAAGTGCGTTCAAACTACTACAGGCAGATGAAACGTTTAATTTGTTGGAGGGTAAGATTTGAGCGAATCCATTAATAAAAAAAATTATGAAAGCTTAAAAGTTTTCTAATTCGTAGGCTTAACACGTGCGGTGGACTTATGCGCAGCACCTGGAGGATGGTCACAGGTTTTATCGAAGCGTATGTACGAACCGCGATCGGAGAAAGACCGGGAGCAAGTAAAAATAATTGCTGTGGACATGCAGGGTATGGCACCAATCGATGGCGTGACTCAATTGCGGGCCGACATTACTAAGGAGTCAACCGCAGAGGAAATTATTAAATTTTTTGATGGCAAAAAGGCGGAACTGGTAGTCACTGATGGGGCTCCCGATGTCACCGGTTTACACGATTGGGATGCCTACATGCAGGCAGAACTATTATTGTCAGCTTTAAGCATTGCAACCTACATTCTCGAAGAGGGCGGTTCGTTCATGGGCAAAGTGTATCGAGCAGCAAACACCAGCCGCGTGTATTTACAGCTGCAGCGATTTTTTAAGGATGTGTGCCTCTTCAAGCCATCCGCTTCACGCAACTCAAGCATCGAGGCATTTGTGGTATGTCGTCAATTTACCATGCCTGAAGGTCATGTACCATGCAACTTGACGTTGGAATGGTTCGATAAGCCGGAAGAGGCACTGAAAAACATTTCGGGAAAAATGGAAAGAACAATCGTGCATTTGCCATTTGTGGGACACCAGTGTGAATATGATGCGGATCTAAGCTACGAGCTGGTGATTATGCCTAGTTACTTGCAACTAAAATTCAGCAATAACATGTTTCTTTCTAGGATAAAGATTATATTACACACGATGCTGTACAAAAGCCACTGACAGCCGCCTATCGGGAAGTGATAGAGAAAACAAAATCTATAAACCTCAAATACAATTATTTCGTTGTTCGCCACGACGAGGAGGAAACATCTGCAGAGCCAAGTACAAGTAGTAAAAGTAGCAGGGCTTACGTTGTTCCAGACGACGAAGAGGACACTTCTCCTGTACCAAGAAGAAGTATTAAAATTGGCAGTATTTTCGTTGGTCGTCACAATCAGGAGGAAACATCTGCAGAGCCAAGTAAAAGTGGACTTTAAACTTTCTAGTATAAATATATAATGAAAGTCCAGCGAGTCAGGGAATAAAAGGCCCATATTTTATATACATTTCTTTGACTGATGATTCTTATAATATATGTTCCACATTTTTTGTAAATAGTGTAATTAATTGGTTCTAAATATATTTATAAATAATGCACGGATAGCTTCTCTGCTGGCTTTACTCCATATTTGTACACTTTGTTGAGACTCTCGGGAAAGTCAGGCAAAAGATTATTAAAATTCTCCACGTGATGCGTATGCTGTTCAGTCCAAATACCATCGCCGGTGAAATGAAATTCCGATTCTATCAGATATAAAATCAATGTTAATATCTCATTATTTTCCAGAGCGTGAACATTGGGAACAGGCAGTTGAAGCTCTTCCATAATTTCCGGGGTCTGCAATAGCAGCAATTTTTCCTCAATCCGTTTGCTAAAGCAGACAAACGGACGAATTAAAATGTATTCTGTTGCTATAAATTGATTCACTACTCACATGGGATACAAAAGCAAGTGTATGTTTTGGAATATGTCCTCTAGTTTAAATTTTTTACTTAGTAAGTATTCCAGACATTGCTTGATATGAATAACGGGTATGTGACACCAGTTCGGATGCCGCGACAGCACATTGCGTAGCAATTGTTCATCTTTTTCTAAAATATTTCCCAGATAAATTACAATGTCACGACCTTTTGTACGATCCGAGCCATCCCGTGCAAATCTATAAAACCGAATCAGAGATGATTGAGAATATATATGTGTCATGCTAGATAAACCTATAATAGAACTCACTTGGCAAAGGCTTCCGAGCCGCATGAAAGTATATGCAACGAGGCACAGCGTACACGGAGCTGGTTTAAGTAGTCCAGACGCAAACGTGCTTTATTCTGATAGTGTACCAGGCGAAGCACGCGCGGATTGCTACCCAGCACTTGAAACTGCTCTATTTCATTTAGATCGCGCAGGCGCTCCAAGACAGTATCTGGTCCTAGAGTGAGCACTTCAAGACATCGAAGAACAGCATCCTCTTTAATGCCGAAGGATTTCACGTGCTCCAGTGTTTGCTTAAGACCATCACAAGTGGACATTAGAATTTTTGGCCGACGATATCCAATATCACGAATGTCCTGGTCATTAATTGTGGGAATCTCCTTAAGAATACGACGAACGTTGTCTGCATCCCCGTGCAGAAGGAAACTATTTTTACGCAGCCGTTCAGCTGGAAACTTAAACACTGTAGTTAGCAACTCGACAATATCCTGCACGGACCGGAAACTCTTGTGGCGTACTCGCCCATATACACGCCACATCTTCTGCAAATCCGCATCTTCCATTTGAAGACGTTCGCGCAAATATGCATTTAGTAAATTTTGTCTTAGGGCCTTTAAGGGGACGCTTTCATCAAGGTGTTCTTGCAAGTGGAAGTTATTCAGCTGGACAGTCGTAAAGCATTTCATGAGACGTTCCGGCACATTAACATCATACGGTATACAATTGTGTGCTTTCAGCATATCTATTGGCTTGTTTATAACAGTAACGTATTTAAAAAGCGTTGGGATGGTGATGTTTTGGAATCCGCATTCAATGAGCACACTATGCCGATTGGCAAGTGTTGAGGCGTTATAATAAATAATCATCGGTTTTGTAACAATATCATCGACGCTGTAATTCAACGATTTTAAGGTGTGATAGGAATTGAGCAGGTCTTTTCGCTTGACCGTTTTCAGCTCAGGATGCTTTTCTAGTGCCTGAGCCCAAGTGCGATAGCTGCTGCCTGAAAGTCAATTTAGCCATAGGAACGATGTATTTATTATAAGTACATACCTAGGGTTCGCGCCAAGTAGCTAGGATTCAAGGAATCCTGCGTTGTCCGTTCAAGTCCGCTTGATTTGATCGGCTTTGGGTTATCCTCTTTGTTGGATTGCTTATTTAGTGCAGCTAAGCCTCGTGCTAAATAAACACAACCTCGCGACAGAAGTTGGGCTTGACTTTGACTAGTTCGCAACATATTTATGTCATTTTAAATTCTATTTGCTCGCGTAAAATAATTACAATATGCAACAGTTGAGGTATAGAATATTCGATTAATTACATTCGCAGCTGACAACAGCTGATTTGGCGCTGCCAACCTACGTAAATAACTAAGCAAGTGCAAAATTAAACCAGTTGCCACTATCAGAACGACGCTACACGTGCGTTTATGCATTTTGAAAAGAACTATAAAGTTAAATAAAGTAATACTTAATAATGTCGCTTTTACGGATCAGGTATGTGCTCTAAAATAGATAGAATTCACTGTTCGCCCACTGCTTACATATTTAAATCTATTGTAGGAAACCGAAAACCCGGAAAGGAAAGAAAGTGTTGTTGGCCCGCGAGCCGCAACTCATTGAGTCGGCACGCACTATGTTATTCGTGGATGGACGCAAATGTGGTGGTAATGTAAAGCTCTGTATGAAGGATCTGCAACAGCTGAAGAAGCCTCTAGTTAAAGTTCTAAACCGGAAGAACGATATAACGCCATTCGATGATCCCTCTTCCCTGGAATTGTAAGTGAATTAATGCACTGCAAATTCTATATCGCTTGAATTTAATTTTATTTATTTTTAGCTTAACAATGAAAAACGATGCGGCGCTTTTCACGTTTGGATCAACGTCCAAGAAGCGTCCAGATAACATAATCATTGGTCGAATCTTTGAAAATGAAGTACTTGATATGTTTGAGCTAGGCATTAAGCGTTATCAGTCGATTTCAGAGTTTAAGAACGAAAAGATTGGCGCCTGTGTGAAGCCCTGCCTAGTCTTCAATGGTCCGAAATGGGCCCAAACCGAGGAACTGCGTCGCTTGCGAAATTATTTCATAGACATGTTTCAGCGAGAAAAGGTTGAATCCATACGTCTACAAGGCATAGAACACGTACTTAGTTTTACTGTCACCGACGATATGAGCATCCTCATGCGTTCATATAAAATCTTGCTAAAGAAATCCGGTCAAAAGACTCCGCGCATTGAGCTTGAAGAAATTGGACCATCGGCTGATTTTTCAATTCGTCGTACGAAGATTGCATCTGATGATCTATATAAGCTGGCCAGAAAGCAGCCAAAGCAGCTTAGGGTTACCAAAAAGAAGAACATCAGCACCGACGCTCTGGGCAATACAAAGGGACGCGTTCATCTGGGCAAGCAGCAGACAGGCTCAATACAAACACGCCGCGTGAAAGCGCTGAAAAAGTCACCGGAGGAGAAACGTGCAGATCGCCAGAAAAAGAAAGTAGCACTTAAAGCAGCCGCAGTAGAGGCATTGTCAACAGCCGATTGATTTACAAAAAATGATTTTAGATTTTAATTAGTTATAATTGCAATAAATTGGTCCAGCTTAAAATATGGTTAATATATTGACTTAACTAAAAATATATACATATATATTCTTCTAGTGTATGGCATTGACAATGTTTTTGATGCGACGCGTCTTCGACTCGGCCAAGGCATCCTCGAGCGATTTGATTAGGTACACTAGACTGCTGACATCCGTTTGCACTATGAGATCCTTACGGTGCCGTCGCTCATCCTCATTCATTGCTTTCAGCTCATTCTCGCTACGTTCGGACGTATCTATTTCGAGCAGTTCGCGATTTTCGTTTTTCGGCTCAGTATGCAGATACAGCTTCATTGTTATTACTATATTTGATTGTTGCAGCAAACAGCGAGAAGCAGTGCGCACCTCCAGACGCCAGTCCAGGTTGACTAGTCGATAGGCACGAATATTGGCCGACTTAATGGAGCCCTCTACGAAATGTCGCTTACTTGTGACAAACTGTTCAAGCACCTCCAGCACATCGTCACTTAAATCGGGGAATATATTGCGCATATTAGCCTGTTCACCATTAGGTCCGGACTTGGTAGTTACATGGATTAACAGTGATATTAAGGCTTCCACTGCCCGTTGCACCGCTTCACTATTCACATTGCCTGCATATTTTTTGGCCATCATGTCATAGCGCTCCAAGTTGGGTCCGTTCACCAGGTAGTCGAATGCCGACTTACATAGTTCTAGGACTTCACTGGCCGGACGTTGTAGTAACGCCAAATGGTCGCGTTCTACTTGGCTTAATCGTACTGATGACATTATGTGATTTTCTTTCAAAATAAAACAATTATTTTACATCCAGAATGTAAACAAATCTGATTTCATCTGATTATTTTGCTTAATGGTATGCTGTTCATTGCTGAGCTGCAATTGATACTTTCAGTAAGTATGCCGAATACAAATGAGTTTATATATATTTCTTTAATGTAGATGAATCCTTCAGATTTAATACTTTTTCTTTATATTTGGCTGCGTACTGCAATTTATCTAATAAACACCGCTTTACAATTTGCATTTGCAGCAAGTTGGCAATTCTATTACATTTAATCGATTTTGCAATCGATTGTTAGCCTCTTCTGCTTTGTTTATTGATTGCAGATGGTGTAAACATATTAATTGTATTTATTTATTTATTTAAACAAGTTGCCACAACAGTATGGATTTTGATAGCCCGGAAGAAAAGGATTTTCCAGGGCTTTATGCCTCTGAAGCGATCGATTCCAAGTCCAAAAAGAGCAAAGAAGAAAGTGACTGTAAGTAGATTAAAAGCTGAAAAAGGGCGCTACAACAAAAATAATTTGCATTTCTTAATTAGTTAGTGAAGGTGACCATGACAAGCACAGCAAGAAAGATTTGCTCATAGGTCGACGAAAGGATAAGAAAGATAAGGGGAAAGATCGTGGATATGCCGCCCTGGAAGGCGAAAGTTCGCCAGAAGAAGAATTGGACACAAAGTAAGCTAAAGCAAACCTTGAAATCCTCCAAATATCGCCTATAATTGATTTTCTCTATCCACTCAGAAGCCCTTCAAAATCGAAGAAGTCAAAAACTTTTAAATTTACGAGCTCAAAAAGTAAGGAAAAACGGGAAAAATCACGTGACAAGGATAAGGAACCAAAAGCGTTAGAGGAGGAGCCGTCCCAAAAGGCAAAAGAGAAGGAACGTGAAAAAGAAAAAGATCGACACCATGATGACAAGGAGCATAAAAAGAAAGATAAAGAACGCAAAGAAAAGGACAAAAAGGACAAGTTCGAAAAGAAAGATAAAAAAGATAAAAAGAGCAAACAACTGCAACAAGAGGACGCGAGCGAAGTTGAAGAAGTCTTAGCACTTGGATATCCTATATTTGGTGTGTCGATTAGCCTGGCCACAGAACGTTCCCGATGCCATGATGGAATCGATCTGCCGCTGGTAGTGCGTGATTGCATCGACTTTCTGCAGCAGGAGCAATCGCTCAAATGTGATCACATTTATAAAGTGGAGCCCATTAAGACGCGTCTATTGCACTACAAAAGATTATACAACAATCGCGATAATGATGCATCTGTGGACGATATACCCACCGCCTGCAGTTTGCTAAAATTATTTCTGCGGGAGCTCCCGGAACCGGTCTTAACTACAGATTTAGTAGCACGTTTTGAGGAGGTGGCTTCACATCCCAAAGTTACAGACCAGCAAACGGAGCTGCAGCAATTACTAGAGCAGTTGCCCAAATGCAATCGCACTTTGTTATCGTGGATACTATTGCATTTTGATGCTGTCATACAGCAGGAGCGTTACAACAAACTGAATGCTCAATCTCTAGCAATGTTGCTCAGTCCAACCCTACAGATGTCGCACCGCCTAATGGTCGTGCTATTATGCCACTGCACGAATCTCTTTCCGGACGTGAAGCTGATAAAGTGAGTAAACATTGGCCAGATTAGATTAAAAAGCGCATCATGCGGCCGTAATATGACAGATCTCCAGAAACATGAGTGTAGCACCACGCAAACGTTCTCGTTTTCGTCGCATCGTCAGCTTTTTGTTGAGGCAGCCATTAATCTAAATACTGTAAAGGAGGCTTAACTAAAATTTAATATTTCTTGCAGATATGTTCCGCCACTTACGTCTAGCAGTCCTGGACTCCCGGACAATCCGGAGGACATTAAGACAGAGCTACGCAAGCAGGATAGTCTGCTGACTCAGATACACAGCGAAATGAATGCGGGCTTTATTACCAAAAAGCGTGAGGAACAACTTTGGGAGGTCCAACGTATCATTACGCAGCTTAAACGGAAACTTAGAAGCTGTGAAAAGAAGCAAGAGAAGTCTATTGATGAACTAGAGCACACCACCTCTGCACCACCAGCACCAGCACCAGCATCTCAGCCAGCAGCCCAACCAACCGAGCAAAAACCACCCACCACCAATCAATCAACTGTAACTGCACCCATCGTCAGTGAGGATACCATTGACTCTGTGCCGACGCACACGGTCACATCGCTCCAGCAGCATGATGAGACTAACATTGCAACTTCGCCACCACCCATAGAATACACCGTTGATAAGCAGACAGGCTATTTGCTGTTGTCCAAATCAAATCCTCAGCGAGATGATCTTTTGCGGCTGCAAATAGAATATGACGAATTAATGAATTGGCAAAACGAGCTTAAAACTCGTATTCTTGCCGAGCGCAACGAAATCTTTCGCATGAAACAATTGTATGAGCAGGAGCTATTAAAAGCACAAGCTGCTCCAACCATAAGCCAGGAGCAGCTGCCTGCGGAGGGTGACTACGAACGAATCATTGAACATTACACGCGAGAAAATTCACTTCTTGAGCACAAAAAGCAAATGCTGGGCATGGAAATCAAGGAAGAGCGACGTGCCTGTATTGCCCTTCAAGTAGAGCTGCGAATGCAGGAGTTTTAATTTATTCAAATTTTTACTCATATATCTGTCGAACAAAGCAAATGCAAAAGATATCTCAAATATAAGAAAAAGCTTAGCTTTAAACAAAAGTCTTCCCGCGCTTTTCTACAAATCAGTTGGCAGCACCGTTTTACAGCAACAGCTGTTTAAAGCTCAGCTACAGCAACAACACACAGAATTTAACCTTGCGCCAAGTTGGCTGAAAGCTTTTAGTGAATAGCAATTGGGATTTTGCAAGTCGCGCAGCTGCTTATTGTTTTGCATACCAATTTTTAAACAATTTATTAAAAACAAAATAAAAATGTTGAAGCAAGTTACCAAGCAATTGGCGCTGCAAGGCGTGCGCAACTTTTCGGTCAGCCAACAGGTGAGCAATAATCTGAAATTAATCTTTTTAGCCACTTGACGAATGGCTCTGGCGGTTTACGTAATAAAAAAAATTTACATGACCAAAAGAAAAAGATTTCTGTTGAGGTTTGAAATAAAATATATTCACTCTTGATCAAACTCAGGTTCATTGTTAACTGAAATAAAAATATTTTATTATTCTTATTTTTTAGAATAACTATAAGGTGACCGTATGCGGCGCCTCTGGCGGCATCGGCCAGCCGTTGTCGCTGCTGCTGAAGCAAAATCCCTTGGTCACGGATCTGTCTCTGTACGATATTGTGCACACGCCCGGTGTAGCTGCCGATTTGTCTCACATCGATACCAAGAGCAAAACGACTGGATTTATGGGTGCCGACCAATTGGGCGACTCCCTGAAGGGTAAGTGCATAGGGCAATAAGTGAGGTTAGGTTTAATAATCCAGATTAGAAAATTAGCACATGATCATAGGTTTAGTATAGTATTTTGTATTTTAGTCTAATTTAATTTGCATAAGCAAGAACAAATCAAAATTCCTTTTTTTTTTTTTTTTTTTGTTTGTTTCTCATGCATATGCATGTCATAGCCGATAAGCGTAATTGATGTGATAAGAGGAAGTTTATTAGACCTTTATAACTGGCTTTTAATCTGTGCGTGAACTTATCGCCTCTTAACAGTAGCCTCTTGTTTGGAGCATAATACAAAAGATCAAAGTGCTTTCATATAAATCTAGTATTCTCGTTTAATCTTTTTTATTGTATTAATTATCTCGAACAGGTTCTGATGTCGTTGTCATCCCTGCTGGTGTACCCCGCAAGCCTGGCATGACTCGCGATGATCTGTTCAATGTCAATGCTGGCATTATTAAGGACATTTCGAACTCCATCGCCAAGAACTGTCCCAAGGCTCTGGTGGCTATCATCACCAATCCCGTCAACACCTGTGTGCCAATTGCTGCCGAGATTCTGAAGAAGGTAAGTTTTGCTTAACTCGACAACATATGGAAGATTGTCACTAATTGTGCTTATGCAGGCCGGCGTGTATGATCCCAAGCGCCTATTTGGTGTCTCTACCTTGGATGTGGTGCGTGCTCGTGCCTTCATTGGTCACGCCCTCGGTGTTGATCCCCAGAGCGTGCAGATTCCTGTGATTGGAGGCCACTCTGGTGTCACCATCCTGCCAGTGCTATCGCAAAGCCAGCCTCAATTCAAGGGCAACCAGGATGCCATTGAAAAGCTGACTGTGCGCATTCAGGAGGCCGGTACTGAAGTGGTTAAGGCTAAGGCTGGTGCCGGATCTGCCACCTTGTCGATGGCCTATGCTGGCGCTCGCTTTGCCGGCTCCCTTCTGAAGGGCCTCAATGGCGATAAGAACGTTATCGAGTGCTCGTACGTGCAGTCCAACATAACTGAGGCGACATTCTTCTCCACGCCATTGGTGCTGGGTAAGAATGGTCTGCAGGAGAACCTGGGACTGCCCAAGCTGAACGACTATGAGAAGAAGTTGCTGGAGGCTGCCATTCCCGAACTTAAGAAGAACATTCAGAAGGGCATTGACTTTGCCAATGCTTAAGTGTTATCAGCTTGCAGCTACACACTAGCCAGTCAACCAGTCAATCGGCCCCACACTAGTGATATCCTTCATTAGCTATCATTTAAACTTCATGCCAGCATTGGTTATTTACTTAACAAATTAGATCGTCTTAAGTTGAAAAGTGTAAAACAATCGTTTGTCCAAAGATTAAAATGCAAACCGCTCACCATCTTTCAAAATAATGCTGATACTTATGTACTTTCAATTTTTGGGAATCAGTAAAAATATGTTAGATGACATATGGATATAATATTTGAAAATTTACGTTTAGAATCAAGAGGGAATGGTTTGATCCCAATAAATCAGGATTTTATATACACATATATATCTGGATTATTTTAGATCTTTTAATAAGTTACGAAATCTATGCAACAAAGAGCTATTTGCCTCGATAGAATAATTTGCTTTGATTGATGACTTTTGTTACTATGAAAAATATTCTTCAAGAAATGCGATATAGAATTTAATTTGGCAATAAACAATTCGAATAGCAAACGTAAATAACCTTATTATATATTGAAAAGTAATATGGAATATGTACTCACAAATGTAATTAAATGACGTGACGTGTAGGTTCACTGGTTCTGTTGATAAGGTACATAAATGGGTTATTTTAGGTCATAATTTAATTTTTAAACCCAATTCTTCATTTAACGATTCTTTTACAAAAATTTTATTTATTTTATTTATTTATTTATTTTTGATTAATTAGCGAGGTTGACTTTGACTTGCATATATAAATTACCGCCTGTCTTCTAGTAATAAATGACAATAAATATAATGAGGTTTGAGTATGAAATGCACACTACCAAATATCTAAGAGTCAAGCTACTGAAATCCTAAACCAGAACATCATATAAAGTTAGTCCCTTTGCGCTAAATATATAATATATGTGTGTTTATTATTTTGTGCGCTTGCTACATTGAGATCAACTTGAACTTTATATGATTAAAATTAAGCATATGAAAAATTTTAGAAAATCAGGTTAGTACAACTTAAAAATTTGAGTTCCCACATTAGTTACGTTCCTAAATATATATACATTATAAATATATATATTATATGTATTAATATATTAAATCAGTGCAGCCTGGGAACGGATTGTCTTCAGTCGGCATATAGTAAGCTGACAACGTAATTGATAATCTAGTCACTGGTCAATTACGTAAGCTACGTAACTGGCGCTGTGTTACGTTGCTGAGTAGTATATTTTGGTATTACGTTAAATTCGAACTGCAAGTATCCACATTATTTATAAATCAATCTACACAGTAATTCTTCATTGCTATTACTAAAGTCTAATTGGCTAATGATTCAATGATTAACTAATATATTAAAACTTATCTTAACATTATAAAATTATTAAAAAATGTATCAGGGGGTAAGTGTATAAGAGGTCGTACTGAATTGCAACAGCTCGGTAAGGGTATTGGGTCTTTAAGTCTTATTGGTTATTTCATTGATGCACAGTGCGAAATCCTAATCGATTCAGTTTTGGTCCGCATCGCATTTAGCCAATCTGTGCCAAACAGTTTTCCTCAGTGTATGCGCAGCTCAGTCATGGGGCATACTATGTTTTCCTGAGGCTCACATAAACACACCAATACATGCGCAGCCAATTAAGCTTCATTAAGATCAATTGAAAAACTTGCCCGCATGTCATATTTGCGTCTCTCTCCACCTTCCCCGCGATATGCCATGTATGCCTGTATTTGTCGACGGTTTGTGACTAGTGCGTACATATTTTGGAATTTCTTGACATATCGCATATTCATATTTACATACATATGTATGTATGTGAATATATGTATGTATATGTATATATGTATATACATATATATTTAAATACATTTTGTACATACATACATACATGCATGTTTCGGTGGAGATCGTAAAAAAACAATTGTCAAATGTAAAAAATCTTTAACGTATCTTAAAGTAAACACATACATATACAAATATTTTTGATTAGATCATAGATTGATGAAATACAATTCTATTCTAATACTTTAACATATAACAATAATTATTATCTAGATTAGATATAGCCATCTCGAGGAATCAGAAATCATGAACATAATAATATATTTCATTCTTATTCTAATCTTCAAGAAGTTCAAAGGATAATCGCTTCAATCTTCTTCAACAGATAATCTGAGTAATCTTGAATGACTGTAATACGTACACTGAATTGATTAACAATAATGTGATGACGTCTTTAATCAATATATAATGGGTTCAATCAAGATAGACAATTTGATTTGCTAATTGAGCCACTAGTGGAGAGTGACCCAAGTTCCATATAACTCGAATCTATTTGACCAGCATATGAAGCACACGCCCCCGACTTAATTATCGCCGATCAAAAGGCAACGATAACAGCACCAAAACAATCAATTGATACAATTTCATTCATAAAATCTGATCAAAATGCAAGCAAAAATCAGGGAGCACTCAAATATGATGACGCTGACGACGACAATGGCGACGACGATGTCGATTCGATGTCTCCTTCTACTGAATGGGCACTGAGTGACCAATTGGTCGGAGCGGTTTTAATGAAATAATGAGCAGGAATCAATTTCAGACGCTTACTACATACAAAACAAATACAAATACAATTTTGCCGGCCGGCCGGCRTTTTTCATTACTTATTGCACTATATATTAAAACAAATTGGTAGTCATGGATTTTCCAGCAGAACACCCAAGTCCCGATGTCACTAAGTGAGCGAGCGAGTGAGTGAGTTTGTAAGCGACCTTGTACAATTTTATTTAATTACAAACAATTAAGCCACACACATCGGCCGAGCAGCCAAAAACGATATGCGACGCCCACAACGACAACAAAGTGCTATAAATTCAATTATAAATTAAGAACACAAATTTCAGCAGATGCTGCAATCCAGTTTATTCATTCATAAATCGTTCAAATTAAATTTAACGTTGATCGAGTTAGGTATCGATACCATTGATTAGTAATCGATGTCTGCTTTTGAATTTCTGCAATCACAGACATACATACATACATAAACAGTAAAGGACTTAATAAGCGGCAGACGATATTAAAATATTTAAATACTATAGCACTAGAAATGAGCACTTTTAATGTTTGTATATTATAATTTTGAATAAATTTGGAAGGAGTTTCGTAGTATTGTGAGCTTATAATTTAATGATCCTTTCTTTTCCTCAGGCTTTCAAGAATCGCTATTATCAAAAGAATTAGTAACGTCTTTCATTCAACTAATGGAGATGGCCGTTTAATTGAGTTATCCTTTAACAAAGACTTCACCGCATTTATATTCTTTCTCGTCAATCGTTCAGGTATCCTATAAATCTTTCAGATTTTGCTGCTATAATCACACCGTTTAAGTAATCAGAGGCAAACACAGACTGCATCCACATCCACGTTGATCCACATTAAATGGCGCCTTTGGCTTAAATAAGTCACAATTGTCAACAATTAATTTGAATTACGCGCGCTGTGTTGCGATTTTTTGTGATCCGAGAAGACTCCGACCCAGAGCCAATTACAAGGGCCAAGGCAAGCCAAGCGAAGTGGTTGTCATCTTTCATATGTATATTTGAGCTCCATATGCGCTCTATACGATTCTGATTGGATTTAATTTATTGGCGTGTTCTCACTTTCACTTTGATTGCATTAAGTTGTATCTGCTATATTTCTTACACCAATAACACGACAAATGGGGTAAAAATAAAAAGCTCTGCTTATATATCAAATAAAATTACTTCAAATAAATTATTCTCTTTTCGTTCATCACGGATACATTTTTTATATGTGTGTGTATATATATTGATTTAGGACAGTCCCACAATTATATATATA